AAGTAGATGTGGCAGTCTACAGGCAGCTGGAAGCCTCATGTGCCTTCATGTGTGCAGGCCCTGGTTCCTCATGGGGAACTCCAGCCACTGTTATATTTGCTGGAGGGAAAACGCAGCAAGGTACAAGCAATCCAGGAGGTTCTAGAGAGCATTAACAACAGTTTCCTGATACAGGTGCTAGAGGAGGCAAAGAGAAGAGATGCTCTTCTGGACTTGAACTTACAAACGAGGAAGCATTTTTTGGAGACTGTAAACTTGGCTGCAGTGATCGTGAGATGATGGATTTCAGGACCCTGACAAGAGAAAGAAGGGCAAAGGCAAAGAACAGAATCACTCTGGACTTCAGGAGAGCATGCTTCAGCCTCTACAGGGACCTGCTTGGAATAATTCCATGAGATAGGGTCCTAGAAGGAAGAGGGGTCCAAGAAAACTTACTAATATTCATGTCTTCAATGGATCAGTCCAAGAAGTCAGCAAAGGAAGCAGGAGACCTGCATAGATGAACAAGGAGCTCCTTGCAGTCTACAGAAGGGACAGGTAACCTGGGAGGAATATAAGAATGTTGTTTGAGTATGCAGAGATGGAGCTAGGAAGACCAAGATCCAACTGGAATTTAATCTTGTGAGGGATGTCAAAGACAACAAAAAGGGTAAAAGGGCAACTAGGGGAGATGTGAGCCCTCTACTAAATGGGGGCAAGAGTCCTGATAATTAAGGACCCAAAGAAGGCAGAGATACTGAATGCCTTCTCTGCTGGCAAGACCAGTCCTCATGAATTCCAGACCCTGGAGACCAGGGAGAAAGTCTGGAGAAAGATAGTGCATTATTGGACAAGGATTGATTTGGGGATCTCTTGATCAAACTGGCCATACACAAGTTCAGTGGCCTTCATGGAATACATCCACAATTTCTGAAGGAGCTGGCTGATGTAACTACTAGGCTATTCTCAATCAATTTTGGAAGGTACCAGTAAATAGGAGAGATGCCTGAGGACTGGGAGAAAGCAAATGTCAATCTTGTCACAAAAGAAAAAAAAAAAAAAGGCAAAAAGGAGGACCCAGATAACTATCAGCTAGTCAGTCTCACCTCAAACTTTGGAAGGGTGATGGAACAGCTCATCTCAGATGTCATCTTTATGTGAAGGAATGTGAAGGATGCGAAAGCGATCAGAAGAGGTCAGCATGGATTCCCAAAGGGGAAATCATGCTTAACCAGCCTCATAGACTTCCGTGGTGGAATGTCTGGCTTAGTGGCTGAGGTGAGTGCAGTGGATTTTGTCTACCTTAATTTCAGTAAAGTTGCTGACCCTGTCTCCCATAACATCCTCATAGGCAAGCTCAGGAAGCATGGGCTAGGTGTGCATACAGTGAGGTGTGCTGAGACCTGACTGAAGGCAGAGTTCTGTGTGTTGTGCTTAGTGGTATGAAGTCTAGCTGGAGGCTGAGACAGGCTGGATTGATGAGCAGAGAGGAACCTCATGACATTCATCAAAAGCAAGTCGAGGGTCCTGCATGTAGCAAGGAATAACTCCATGCACCAGTATGGAGAAGGCCTTGGGAGTTCTGATGTTTAACAAGCCAACCATAAGCCAACAATGTGCCCTTGTAGCCAAGAGGCTGATGGTATCCTGGGTTGCCTTAAATTGCCAGCAGCTTAACGGAGGCAATCTTCTCCCTCAGCCTTGAGGTGGCCACGTCTGGAATACGCCAGTGTACTGGGCTCGCAGTGCAAGAGAGTCATGGAGTTAATGCACGAAGCCCAGCAAAGGACTAAGATGATTAGGGGACTGGAGCATCTCTCATATAGGGAGAGACTGAGAGAGCTGGGACTATTCAGCCTGGAGAAGAGAAGACTGAAGGGGAAACTTATCAATGTGTATATATATTTTACTGGAGGGTGTAAAGCAGATGGGGCCTAACTCTCCTCAGTGGTGCCCTGTGACAGGACGAGAGGCGGGAGAGGTGGACTAGATGTTCTCTAAAGAACTCTTTCAACTATTGTGTGACTAACAATGAAAGATAATTCGCCCTACTGTTTAAATTTTATATAGAGATAAAACTCCCTAACAAAAGCCGCTTTTATTTATTTTTTTACTCTGTTAGAAGTTATTCTGTTGTGAATTTCCTTATACATTGAGGAAGTTGAACAGGAGTAATTTCAGTTACACTGTGTGATATGATGCAACTTCAATGCAACTCATCTGCAGCAATAACACATATTGCAGCAGAAATGTAAAGAAAGAGAAACACGTTTTTGTTTCCTTGAGTTTGTGCTTGAACTCTAAGCATGCATATGATTCTGTGATAAAAGGCATAAAATTATTTTTATACTAAATACGTGGGAAATGATATCGTGTGAAAGTAACCTTTATATGGATATTGAATTCTCATTTCTTTTGCCTTGTAGGATTGATTACATAGTCCGCTATAGAATTTTATGTGGCTACAAAATAAACAGTGTAGATGAGACTTCATATAGTCTGGGAAGAAAGTTTCTGGATCCATCCCTTCCCTCTTATATAGAAGGAAAATTTTAGTGAATATGAAGCTAGTCATTGTTTTGGAGGAAGTGGTCTTAGGAAAATAAAGAGGGTTTTAAGCACATCTATGCCCTTACATATTTTCTGGCTCTGCAATTGATTTTTTGTGTGATTCCAGACGAATGATTTAGGTTATATCTGTATCATATAATGTAAGATCCTGCAGAAACACCCACACTGACTCTGACCAAATTTTGAGGAATTTTTTTTCCCACTTTAAGAAATAAAAAAAGAAAAAGCAAATGCCTCTAGTAGCAATGGAGGAATCAGCAAATGGAGGAATGGAGGAATCAGCAAATGACAACTCTTACTATTTCTGAATCCTGTCTTCTTTATGTAAAATAGAATTAAGTCACTGCAAAACTGGAAACATGCTCCTTTCTATGTTTACTTTTCTGTATGTCTTTATTGCCTACGTGGGCCTGGCACCATGAATATGTTTGTGAAGAACACAAACTGATCTGGCATGGCTGTCTCAAAGGCTCTGTGAAAATGAGTTTGATAAGTGCTTGGGGGAACATGAGGTTGAGTGGTTGACTGTAAGCTTCTGTGGCAAGACCAGGAGTGGCTTGGGAGTCTTGCACATTCTGTACATCTGCTTGAAGGGCCTTAGGAATAAGGGAAAGGAGGAAAAGTGTGCCTTAAGACAGTGGGAGCAGGCTATGCAACAGCAACTAAGCATGTCTGCTGCTGCATCAAGTCTTTGCTGAAAAATATTGTAAATTTACCCTCCTATACTCCTAGGTTTTCATGTGAGCAAAAGTCCTCGGCTTAAGTGCTCAGCAGAAAGTGAATGCAGCACTTCTGTCAGCAGCAGCATTTTGAAATAAGATTTAATATTCTAGGAAGCCTTTTGTGCCTTTACTATCCCTCTTTTGCTTCTTTAACGCCCTTGGATAAAATTTTCTTTTCACTTAAAAAAGTATGTATTAGCATGATTGTGCTCTGGTGTTTTTGCTTCTTATACGAACTGACTCTCTCCATCTTTGCCCCTCAGCTCAGTATCTCATCCTGCAGTTTTCTCCCTGATCGAAGCCCCCTGATCTTATGGTAGGAGCAAATATCTTGCAGTTACATTTCGCAACGATTGCAGAGACGGTGCAATAAACCGCAGCAGAACTAGATCTGTTGATGACAGAGCAATGTGAAAAATGCTCACAGCACAGTGAGCTCAATGAAGGTGATATTCAGAGGCAAAATGTCTTTGAAAAGGTGTAGCCTTTTCAATGAGATGTTCAGATTTTGCTAAAAGCAGCAGTAGCACTAGTGTTTTGCTGCTTGCTCTGCCTTCTTTCTTCCCTTTTTTTTTTTTTTTTCCTGCTATATATTGGGCATACAGACATTTTAAAACAAACTAAGACCCTCTAATTGGTTTCTTTCTGAATACAAGATGAAAGCTTCAGCTACCAGGTTTGCATAGGAATAGCTTATTCAGGAACAGGCCCCTGGCTGAAAGTTCCAGGCAGTTTTTTTAGTTTGAAATTGTAGTTCCAGCAGGAAAATAATATAGCAGACATACATAAGAATGACAACTGCATGAGCACTGAAGGTGCTCATACCTGGTATTCTTGCAGGTAGATTTTCTTGCAAGTTAAATTGTTGTGGAATGATTTTTAACTGATGTACTGTTGCTGTTTAGAACACACCCTCAAAAATAAAATTGTGAAAAATGGTCTGCAAAGAAGTTGTCTGAAGTCTATGTAAAAGTAACAAATCCTCAGTATACCAAATTTCGCTGGAGTTCAGGACTATTCTCATTCTGTTTCTAATCCATGCATTCTGTTTTCATTAAGTACCAAGGACATTATTCATGTTTAAGATAGTTTCTTAAATAGCTCCCACAATCCCTTTCCGAAGAAGTTACCTCTGAGAAGGTTTTTACATATAATTAGGGATGACCATATAACCTGTACAGACTTGCAGAATGGTAGAAGTGTTTCACATGTGATAATTACACAGTCCATAGGATAATCTGGAGTGGTTCATCCAGCATACCTCACAGTCTTGTAACTAGTTACCTTATTTTATGAGCCAAATATAAAATATTATTATCCTTCTGAATTGTCACTTTATTATTTGGCAGCCTTAATTTCATTAAATCTTATAAAAACCTCTCTGCAAACTCTGCTAAAGCAACACAGTTGTCTGAGAAAAGAAGCAAAAGCGTGTGAGGGTTAAATGTAACTTTTTTTCTTGTACATGTCATTCTTCTGCCTTAGAATTCTTTAATAAACACTGAGCAATGGAGAAGTGAAAGTATTTTTAATTTCGGTGCCTTGTATATTTACAGAGAGATTACAACAAACTTCTACACTTTATCTACATTTTAATAGGTCAGTGTGAACATATGAGGGGTATTAAGGTGGACTGCCTAACTTATTAAACTGACGTGGGTTTGCCAGAAGCCCTTTGCAGTCGGAGGCGATCGGGGCTGCAAAGCCATGCGTGGTTGAGGTCATGCATGCAGCCGGTTTGTAAGATGATCCCTCTGCACCGAGCCATGAGCCATCCCCAGCACAGGGGCGCACTCATACACGCATTCCTGTCAAGTCATCTCGTGAAAGGCTGCTTGCTTCCAGCTTGGCTTGAATGTGCAACCTTAATAAAACTCACTGAAGTCTGAGAGAAAATAGCAGTTCTGCAGCAGATAGTGGAGGGGAAAGAGACTGGGATATGCATATGCAGCTGACTAAAGCAGGCTACATGCTGGACTGTTACAGAGAGGAAACAATAAATCTTAACTACTATGCAATAAATAGTCTCAATTTTAACTAGAGGAAGCTCTCTTAATATTAAAATTAAAAATATAACAATTTCTTCAAGCTTGGTAACTAAAGTACAATTCTTCAGTCCTTTTTCCAAAGACTTTAAAGGAAATTCAGAACAAATTTAAAGAGGAAGAAAAAAGTTTTTCTAAACTTAGGAAAGGAAAGTAATAATAACATGACAATTTTCCTTTCCTTTGCTTTCTTGGCTGCTCTTCTGGCTCACATAGGCTGTAATAATCAGCGGCGGGGTCCAGAAGCCAGTGGGAGAAGATATAACCGGATCCAGCATGGTCAGTGCACCTATACTTTCATTCTGCCAGAACAGGACGGGAACTGTCGTGAAAGCACGACAGACCAGTACAACGCAAACGCTCTTCAGAGAGATGCTCCTCACGTGGAACAGGATTTCTCTTCCCAGAAACTGCAACATTTGGAACATGTGATGGAAAATTACACTCAGTGGCTCCAAAAAGTAAGTGCTTCTTTTTCCAATTCTCATTAAATGGATTTTTTTTTTTTTTTTGGGTGGTAGTGCTTATGCTGTTCATAGTTTTCATGTTTTTTTTAATGAGAACTGGGCTAATAAGGATTTCTAGTTCATAACTGTGCAGGAAGAGAAATCTTACAGACAGAGTGCACTGCTCGTACCGAGATTACTCCTGGGAGCAGAATTTTCTTCACATTACTGAAAGACACAGTTCTGTAAAGCTTTTTCTCAAGAGACCATGCATGTTTTGTGAGCCAGAGTATACAAATATCCATCAGAGACTCTAATGATGGAAGGCTTTCTTAGCTAGTCTTATAAACTCCATTTATAGTTCAGATCTTCAGATTAGATGTCATGCAGGATACCTTTGACAGCAAAGGGGTGCATTTAAAAATCCACACTTTTTGAGGCACTGTACTGAGAATATTATTATGCCTCCATGAATTGATCCTGTAAAACTTATTGTGTCCAGTTAATCACTGGAAAGACAGAGAAAAATGTATAAGCATTCACATTTTCACATTCCTGAATCACCAAGGTATTTTATTTTAATGTGTGACTTACACTGGACTTGAAAATAATGTTACAGTAACTTAGCAGAAATAATTATTTTTGAGAATTTAGTTGTAAACTTCTACTGAACTTATCTTTTTTTTTTCTTTAATGCATGAGCTGCGGTTTAGCCCAGAAAAGACTTAAATATGTGAATAACTTTACTCAGATAAGGAGTTCCATTCACATTAAGAAGACTCAATTTTACTCATTTGAGAAAAGTTCTTACTTCACAGGATCTTGTCTTTGGCTTGATATTGAGAATGATTTGAGATCAGCAACAAGTGGTGAAAATAGATAAACAGTCTTTATATATGATTGTAATGTTCTTATTCTCACACTGACATTATGACCCAGCAAAACAGAAAACTGAGAAACTAGTGATGCAATTAATCATGTAAGATGGCTCAAGAACACTAATGTTCTTATTCTCACACTGACATTATTACTCAGCAAAACAGAAAATTGTTGTATGTACCTATTCAAGAGGAGTTGTATGTACCTATTCAAGAGGAGCATCATTTAACTATAACATAAGTTCAAACTAAGAAAGAACATGAATAAAAATGCTAGTAAAGACCACTAAACCTCATATTAACATATTTATTGCTACCTATCTCATTTACAATTTTCATTTCCTCCACATGGTATAGAAGACAGAAATATGTTAAAAATCATAAACAGCCACCCCTACCCTTCTAATCATACTAAAACCTTTAGAGAGACTTTCCTGGTATCCCAGTAAATTAACTGTTCTCTTTGCATACCTAGCCCTAGCAAGAGAGAGATGACTGTAGCCAATATTCATGTGACTATAAACCAAAATATAATGGAGCATTTCATTTTCAGACTATTTTCCTCAGTTTTTAATATTGTGGTCTGCTTTGGGGAATATAAGGCTGGGACTGAGGGGGATGTCTTTTGTAGAGGAAAGCATTTCTTAAGAAATTTTTCTGTACCTTGGGATTTTAAGGCAAGGACTGAGCAGAGGAAAACTGCTATCTGTGTTTCTGCACACATGATTTTACTGGAGCAAATTGCCTGCTGATTCATGCTTATGAGACACCACTTATTCTGTGTTTGTCCACTAGAGACTGAGCTAGGATCGCTGTTCCACCGCAAGCAGAACGCCAAGTAAAACGAGTCTCTGGAGTGTGAATGTCTGAGCTAGGGTTAGTCCTCTCACGCTTCACGGGGAAGGGATGAAGCAGGTAGGAAGCCCCATGAAAGGCTTCTCTGAGAGCGGGTCCGTTCTGGGAGCACAAGGGAGGCTGCTGCCATCCCCGTGCTCCCCCCAGGGCTCTGCACGGCGCACGGAGCCCGTCTGTGCCCTGCCCGTGTGTCACTGCTGCTGCACGTGGAAGGACCCGTCACTCCAGCAGAGCACCTCTGGGTGCAGTGTTCGTTTTGGGGCCGTTTCCCAGCATTATGGCCATAACTCAGTGCCTTTCAGCAGCAGCGTAGTGTTTAAGTGCCATAAATACAGCGTGTGCCCATCTCACATCTCATCCGGCACCATTTTCCTCCCCATGCAGGATATAAGTAGTGTTACACTAAGCAGCACTTTATAAGGCACCTGCCATGAACAAAATAAAAGGATTCTTAATCATCATCCTTCTGTAATCAAAAGTGAATAGCTATAATAAGAAATCCTGTTTATATTTCAGAATTTGGGATATATTGTAACTTATGTAGAAAGAATATGTTTCTTAGTCTACGCAACATGCATAACTTTCATTATAATTGTACATTGGATTTTTTGCCAGTGCCAGAGCCTCTTATTTTCTTACGGCAAACGCTAGCCTGCAATACAGGAAGAGTATTTATTAAGAAAGCTTGTACAAAGTGTTAACAGAGAAATTGCGTAGTATTTAAAGATAGATTTTTTTTTCTTTGATTTCTAAATTGCCAGATTTCTGCAAGCAAATTAGGTATTCGTTAAGAGCAGAGGAAACTCTTTTACCCTCTACAACAAAAGTCCTCCTTTGATGACCTACCAGCTTGATTCTAGATAAAAATGCGCCTGCTTGGGGAGCTGATTACAGGCAATTAAGTCCCAGCCTTATCCAATAGCATTTACATATCTATAGTCAGCGTGGCTGGGATTGGTTGGCGAAACAAGGACACAGCAAAACGCTCCGCACAGAAACTGCTTGGAAGAAGATGACTTAGTAAACATTTTCAGAGATTTTCCTAGAACTGTTTATTTTAATGCCGGATAACTTTCCCCATTGTTTAAGCTTGAGTTTCATTTCTGCAATATGTTTATACTAATAGTTCAAAACAAACAGTTCATCACATTTTGTTGCTTGCTGTAGCTGACTGGCACATGTGATCCTGTTTGGTATTTAATTGCAGTGGTTAAGGGTTGCCGAAGAGGAGTTACATGAAATGTTATCATCATGTCTTGCTCGGAAACAATCTGTTAGTCAACTGTGTGCACTTATAATATTTGGTGGGCTCAGTATACCTGACTGTGTGGCTACACACATGTGATTATTTCATGTATTTATCTTTCAGTGATTATTTCACACAGAATCACAGAATCACAGAATGGTTGAGGTTGGAAGGGACCTCTAGAGATCATCTAGTCCAACCCCCCTGTATTTATCCTTCAGTCAAGGAGAGCTGTAAGTTATAGCTGTAAGTAAGTGAGTTTGGCATGATATATTCACTCTTCTTTTTGATCCTGACCTAAACGAATGCCATAAAAGTTAAAAGTGAATACTTGATAATGACATGCTATAAGATGCTAAGATTGATATATAGCCTTAACTGGAGAGTGAACCACAATTATTCTGGTCAGCCAGTAGCCAAACTTACATTTTTTCTCTTTTGTTTCTTTTCTCTGTAAATAGTGATTACACCAGTAGTTCTTGAAACTGAATAAGGGAGCTTCAGCTCTCCTCAAAACTTCAAATTGTTTATGCTGTCACCATCTTATAAAGGAAGATGTAGACAATGCTGCAAATGATGGCTTTTGAAAAGACTAGTAAATATTTGCTGTCTGCTCTGGCTCCATCTACAATCTGCACCTCTCCACTCTCTTTACCAGCTGTGCCCAGCACTGCAATGAAATGCTAATATGCTCATGTACTCATAGTGGCTGGATTTGTCCTTAAGCTGTATATGTTTTGTGGAAGAAGTTGAGAAAATTCTCTATATGTTACTCTTGCTATGAAGCTGTGCAAAAATGAGACAGTGTCTGACTCAAGGAGGGCAACGTGTGAAAATGATATAATATCCTCTGATGCATATGCATATAAAAGTAAGGATAGAGGTGGCCATAATAAGAAGTCTAATATTTAGTGGCATTAACAAACTGATATCATCTATTTAAAATATAACAAGAAAGAGTAAAAACTCTCTAAATAAAGAGTAAAAAAATATTTACAATTTTGTTACACTGGACTTTTTTAATGTAATGTGAGAAAAAATTCCACATATTTGGGAAAATGCAACAAAAAGATATCCATGATGAACTCCTTTTCTACAAGTAAAAAGAAGTTGTTAGATTTGGAATGTCCTCCTCTCCTCATATAAGACATACTAATAAGGCTTTCCAGGTTTGTTGTGCTAAGTTCATTTTCCAAGATGGACCGGAGATGATAGGAAACATTGAGAAAGCTTCATCCAAGAATTGCCAGTAGCCTGCTACTAGTGGTCCAGCTTGGACCTGGATTTCTTTCTAGTAGCAGAGACCATTAGCTAGTCAAGGTGCTGTTTTTTGCTCTGGGTCTGATGAGCTCTCATATCCAAAGAAGAACCTTGTCCTACATTCTTGAACTGACCTTCAAAGGGCCAGTTCTCACAGACAAACAGTGAAGCAAATGAAATCTGATTTCTTGATCTCTGGTATCTTATCCCCGTTGACTCACCACTGGCGCACCATATCTTCTCCTGTAATAGAGTCCTCCAGCTTCTCCCTGTTGTCTCACTTTCCTGTCTTGGGTGATGCTCATGTTGCCCTCAGTTTCCCTCCAAACACCTTATCTCTTTGGCAGAGTAAGCATGAGCTTACAGTGTGGCTTGTACTGTGTTGTATGTATGTCTCAATGAGTAAGGAAGTAAAAGACAACTAAGTTTATAGGGAAAAAAAAAGAACAATTTCTAAGAAAATTCCCATGTGTCTAAAAATAAAACTCCGCATTTCCTACAAAATATCTTCTGACCAATAATATATCTGCAATTTAAGGGCTTTATTAATCAAATTCCTGAGATCTTTGGGATATTATGAGGTACCTGCAAGAAAGAGGCAAGATTTTAAACATGGAAGTGCTTGAAAGCTTGTCATTATTGGGGGATTATCTGTTTGGTAATTTATTTTTAAGAAGCTGAAGAATCAGTAAAGTAGGCTTAAAGTCTGTCTCACGCACTGCCACATTTTGGTAGCAAATAACTTAAAAATATTTCCCATGCTTTGACAGGAGGCT